GTTCTGTTACACGTCCCTGTGAGTCAGAACAGGTTGGCAACAGCACTAAGAGAAAACAGCTATTACTGAAGATCTCTTAAAAATTTCCTTTCTTACAGAAGAACTGGGGTTAAATATTCAGATACAGTAAGTGCCTACATAGCTGTGCACCAAAATAACATTACTTCCGAATTGTGGAAGCAATAGGGACACAGGTGGATTTTATATGAATCTCAATGAGGCCTGGTGGCATCATGGGCTAATGAGCTGAGCTGCCAACTGCAAGGTCAAGAGTTCTAAACCACTAGCCACTCCTTGGGAGAAAGATGATGCTTTCTACTCTCATAAGCAGTACAGTCTCAGAAACCCACAAGGGTAGCTCTACTCTCTCCTATAGGGTCACTATGAGTTAAAATCAACTCACTGGCAGTGAGCTTGGTTTAAATGCGGCCTAAGAATGAAAGTGAGTGCCACACACACTGAGCACTTCCATGTCTGCTGGGCACAAACTGGGACAGGCTGATGGGGATTCCCACCTAAAGGACCCAACACCAGAGGCAGCCACCGTGGCTTCTGATACTAAAAACTGTCCTAACATGAAGCCTCACTAAACCATGAAAATCGACAAATCCCAAGTCTCACTTATATATCATAAGAAACGTTTTATTAACTAAAAGATACTGAAACAGTCTAATTGAAATGAGCTATGGGACTCATAAACTTCCAGTTTCTAAGGTGCAAAGTGGGAAAACTTCAGTGACATTTACAATGGAAGGTCAGTCCTTGTCACCAGGCTGCTCCACTGGCAATCGGAAATAGAGACTCCGTTGCAGACGTCTCAGGGCTGTTTTTGCCTGTCAATCAGAGAAAAAGTTCACAGTGAAAGGATCCTCCAAACTGATGCCTTGTGGGCCACAAACATGCCTAAGCTATTGCTGGCAAATGCCTAAACCTTGCAGTTTTATATGGATTCTTCTTTTAATGATGCCCTTAAGCTTGGGATTCAAACTTTTTTTGTTTTGTTTAAAGTAATAGATTACCCCCTTCATAATGGTCTTTCAAGCTCACACTAAAAATCTAGCAAAATATCTGACCTATCAGTCTCCTCCAGTAGTCTATTATTAAACACACATACAAGGTTGTCCTTGGAAATCTTCCATGGAAAAACTGGCAGCATCCTCTTTAGCCTCCGTGCAATGATCATGCAAATATAGAGGATCCATTAAATGAAGAACTGAATCAGGAAAGCATGATTGTCCTCTCCTTCCCCGTGACAGGGAACCCTGGTGGCACCATGTTGACTGCCTGGCTGCTAGCTGAATGGCTGGAGGCTCAACCCCCTCCAGGGGCTCCACACACCGCTCTGGTCACATGGAGTCCCTGTGCATCATCAACAACACCTACCAACAATGATGCAGTGTTTAGATAGAGGGAGATGTCTTTTGAAACATAATAGGCTCTTCTTACTTTTGGATTTCAAATTGCGGCCTAGTAATATCTACCTCCTCCTGACCACCACTCCTGGGACCGGTTTGTTCAGGGAGGGCAAAAGATAGAATTACTATTAGAGGAGGATACACTGAATAGAATTACTATTAAATAAGGATACACTGAGCAATGAAAGGTACTTTTTACTTTTAACCAAAACTTTGCTATAAAATTACTAAGAAAAAAGTTAAGTGTTATGAAGTCACTGTTGGAAAGCAGTTAATGAGTACATTGGGAGCCTGGAGAAACTGCTCAATGACCAGCCTGGGAGTTCTCTAAGAGCACAGGGGCGGAGGCAAACTTTGGGCTTCTGCTCTGATTGATCCACTTTTCAGCAGTGTAGACATGTGACTAGGACAGCAGCGCGGTCAAGAGCTTTAGTTTCCTCATCTGAAAGATGGAGAAAAGACTAAAACACTTTAAAACACGTTTTTTAGGTAAAAGAGGTACCACTGACTCTTCTTCTATTTTTAAGAAGGAACTTGAGAATGCCTTCAGAGTTTAAACGTCATTTACTACCACATTCACCTTCCTAAATTTTTACTTTTCCATTACTTAATAGTGGAAAATCTGCTATGGTGTTGACTATAGTGGGCTTTTTCCTTAATACTGTAACTATACTCAGTAATACATTTCTATTGACAACTTACGTTTTACTATTGCAAACATAAGAGGACTTCACATAGCTTGTGAAAAAAATCAATTATCTTTTCATTTCATTTTCCCACAAACTTTTTAAAGCCCCCTCATATTTAAGCTAACTGTGTGTGGAATACCGATGATAAGAATAAAACTATTAGGTCTGAGATAGCATGAAAACCTGTCAATGCACAGACGTGGACCTTGCACCAGGTGTTACCCCAGAAGCATAAGCCATCAATTTCATTTCCCAACACTGCATTCTGGTCCAAACCAGACCAACTCTAAAGAGGATACCTACCTCCCTGAGGTCGTCTTTTAGCTTGTTGTATTGCTCCACATCAAAATGTTCTTGCTTTGATCTCTGATAGAAGAAGTGAAGAAATTGCCTACCACTAACAGCTGAGTAAGTGTAATCCTTTAAAAAGAGAGAGAAAAGAAAACAAACTTGCTTTGAATGAACAGGCCTCTGCCCGAAGACGCTTGGCTAAACCCCACCAAGATGAGTGAACGGTGCAGCGGTGGTCAGAGCAACCCCAAGCCAACACTCGTGCAGGGGAACGCTTTCGTCTCAGTGGGATCGGCTGCTCCCTCAGGAATGTCTTCCAAGCGAGCGGACAGGCTGAGAGGAAACGTCACGCACACTGAGGAATAAGGGAAAGCAGGGTTTCTGGCAAAATAACCATGAGGCAAGGTGAATGTTACTGGGTGTTTTACATTACAAATTCAATTGCACTTATAAATAAGGGCACAGAGGACATAAATTTTACGTGTATCCCATTGGCATTTGTGAGTGGTACTAATTATGTCTCTAGTAGTTACAAGTTAGGCTGCTAAGCACAGGTCAGCAGTTTGAGGCCACCAGCTGCTTCCAGGGGAGAAAGATAAGGCTTTCTACTCCCGTAAAGAGTTAGTCTCGGGAATCTACAGGGGGCAGATCTATCCTGTCCTATAGAGTTGCTATGAGTCAGAATCCACTCAATGGAAGTGAATTTTTGAGGGCTTTTTTTTCTTTTTGAGAAGCTATGTCTAGTTACTCTGTACTGTGTTTATCAGTCTCTACTAGCTTACTGGAAAACAGTAAAGAATTATCAGCTCTTATACAGAACCCCTTCAAAGGAAAGCATTGCCATCAAGTTGATACAGACGCATAGCAACCCTACCAGACAGGGTAGCGTGGCCCCTTAGGGTTTCCAAGGCTGTCACTTTATGGACGCACACTGCCACGCTGTCCTCCACAGAGCAAGCTGGTGGGTTCAAGCCATCGGCCGTCCAGTTAGCAGCTCAATGCTCAATCACCGTGGCACCAAGGCTCCCTCCCATAAACCTTCAGAGCAGAACTTCATTAACTAAAGGCTTTATTGCTCAGCACTGAGTAAGGCAGTATTGGCACAGAAGTTTTAATATTTTCCTAACACACTACTCACCTGTCGAGTGACTACAAAGTATGCAAAAAAGACCACGGTATTTGCAAATGTGAGGAAGTATGTAACTGGTTCCATGATGTCCCAGGAGTACACCCACCAGGTGAACCAGGCCAGGGCCCCACCCTGAGCGGACAGCAGCGCTAACCCGCACCACAGGAGCTTGTTGATTCTGGCTTCAGAACGACCTTCAATTCGAGCTTTCAGCTGAAGGACAAACAGCATATCATTGCATCAATTCGAGGCAGTGGGCAAAAAGCAAGACAAAAAGGAACAGGTGCCTATTTTCTTTAAATTCCACTTTGGAACCTTTTCCAACAGGTACACCATGCATTCACTATAATTCAATTTCTAGTAGCAAAAGAAAAAAAATTCTAGACACTATGTCTACGAAGACACTACTTAATTGTCTGGAAGTGGCTATGTACCAATCTGGAAATATTTCTAGGGTACACTTAGTAAAGAGTCAAGAACAGTGTATGTAGTACACTCTCTTTACTAAAATGAGGACACATAAAAACATTTATGTATTTTAAACTAGGAATTGATTCATAAATAATGAGTTCATGAAACATCTCATAACATGAATGAACCTGGAGGGCATCAGGCTGAGTGAAATCAATCACAAAAGGACAATTCCTATGTGACCAGGATTATAAAAAGTCAAAGGGTTTTCACCCCCACCCCACACAAAAGTATGTATGTGTATGTGCGTATATATGTATCTAAATGAACACACACATACATATATGTATATCTAAAAATGTGTGTATGCACACTGTCATCAAAATCGATTCTGACTCATGGCCACCCTATCGGACAGTGTAGAACTCCAGACTTCTCTCTACTGGAAGAGAACGCCTCATCGTTCTCCTGCAGAGCAGGTGGTGGTTTCTGAACCGCTGTCGTTAGCAGCCCAGTGCACAACCACTATACCACCAGGGCTCCCTCGTATATATGTGTGTGTGGAGAGAGAGACATACATGTATGTGGATACACATATACACACACACACACATATATATATATACACACACATATGAAAAAGAAATGATGCTGAAACACACAGTACTCGTGGTTACTGGGTGAGGAAGGGATGGGAACTAGGAGGACAAGGTGGGAGGAAGACTTTGCATTTGACAGTATTTCACTTATTTATTTATTTAAAACATGTTGATTGTGAATTAGGCAGGTGTTTACATTTCAGATCAACGAGTGTGTGTGAAATCACTTAAGCTCATTAGTAAACCCAAGAGCTGAGCCTGCCGGACAGTCCAGGTCCACAGGTGGGGCTCCTCCCCCTTGTGGAGTACCTGCTGTCCTCCCCTGCACCTAGTTAACACCTGTCAACCCTCCAGGCCAGGGCTCGGCAAACTTCCGAGATGGGAGAGCCACTCTTGTCCCTCACAACAATTTAAAAACTATTTGAGAATGCTAAATACAGCTTTACAAACAAATGAAATCACCATTATCCGAATGAAAGTTTCATTTTGATTTTCAATGTTACTCCAGAACCGCCTCTACGTACCGAAAGAGCCACGTGTGGCTAGAGAGCCGCAGTGTGCCGACCCCTGCACTAACCTGTTGTTTATCTTCCTCCCTCGCCCTCCATCCCTTGGTAAACCCCAAAGAAAGTCTGTTTCCTCTGGTGTGAGAGCCTGTCTCGATCTTTTTCCCCTGTAGTATGGTTGTGTACCATGTTGGTCCTTTTGTGGTTGACTAAGTGCACTCGGTATAATGCTAAGACGATCATGCCATCGTTGGGTTTTAAAATTTAATCCACGTGAATTGTTAGTGACTCATGACAACCTCATGTATGCAGGGCAGTTTCCAAGGCCATGGCATGTCAAAAGCAGATGACCTAAGCTAAGGCGACCAGATTTTAACATTGGTAAAGCAGGACAAAAGCGGGACACCATTGATAAAACTCATATCCTGGCGAAATAGCCACACGGCAGCCGAAAACCATATACCCTAGCTTGTCGTGCATTCTTTCCAAAAATCGGGACTTTTTAAAAAAACGCCGTGGGACGTGGGAAAAATTGTTAAAAATCGGGACGTCTGGTCAACCTTACCAAGCCTGTCCTCTGAGGCACTGCTGGGTGGGCTCAAAGGGCCAATCTTTCAGCCAGGAGCCCAGCACCTACCCATTCTGTGCCACCTGGGGACTCCACGCCATATTCTCATCATGAACAAGAAGCAAAGAAACAAAGTAAGCAATGCAGAAACGAAATGCAATCAGTCTCTCTCTGCCATACTTCTAAAAGTCACTCCTGGTGCAACTTCCTACCAGCTCGACAGACGCTTCAGATAAAGAGATACACACTTCCCCGCCCATTTCCAAAAAACACAGTGGGTTCACAAGGTTTAACATATAGTTTTCCTTTTAAATTGCAGCAAGCAGACCAAAAAGAGAACCCAAGTCTACTGAGACGGCAACAGCATTTTCAGCCACAATGCGGTTTTTGTGGGGTTGGGCCCTGGGCTGGCTCTCCATGGAAAGAAAGTGAGGTAGCCGCCCAGCGGGTGCGCTCAGCTTACCGCCCGCATTGTCCAGGATGAACGCAAACCACTCCCAAGTGGTGTTCCCCAACCAGCTGCAGAAACACGGCTTCTCCCTGGAGCTAAAAGTAGCTCGGTTTCCGCATCTGAAGGATGAGGGTGAGGACCGCAGAAATGCGCAGGCTTGCCATGAGGCTGACAGCAGGGAAGGAGCCTAAAGGAAGCCCTTGGTGAACAGGAAGTATTATTTTTATACAGCCCTCGAGTGGTGCATTTGTCTGCTAACCTAATGGTGACAGGTCGAGCCAACCCAGCAGCTCTAGAGACGCAGCTGCGGTGCTTCTCACCTGTTCCAGGGGCTGCAGCTGCTTCTTCAGGTGGTCAATGTTCTCCAACAAATGCGTCTCTTTCCTTCTCTGATACTCATCAAAGTGTATGGCTGTAAACAGTCTGTGAACCATTGACTTCACGGTGTCCATCTCGGCAGCGAGCTCGCTACTCAGTGCTTCTGAGAAAAGACACAAGGGATACCGGCCGTCACCACATCCTCCCCCCAGCCTGTCAGGCGGGCAGCACGTCTGAGCCAGGGCTGCTGCCTATCGTCTCAGGTGATTCCATTACTCTCTTAAATTTAACAACGATCTGAGTCCCAGGGGGTAGGCTTAAAATGGTGTTTCTGCTTGTCCTTTCTTTTGATATATGACTTGTCATTTCCCGAGAAGGCTGCATACAGAAACGGCAAGACATTCGCCAGGGACCAGCCTCCAAGAGAACGTCTCCCTTGATACCTGAAGACACCTCGGATACCTCGCCCAGCCCGTCTTCTCTCCAACACTCACATTAGGATCCACAGAGGAGGATGCCGGTGTGCAGACAGGTGAACAGCACATGGCAGCCATATGAAATGTGACTCAACTGTCTGCCTTTTGCAACAAGTGCCGTGGGCAGAGGAGTCAGATGGAATAAAAGGTGTACATTTGAAAGGGAACTGGGCTTTCGTTGCTTTGACACAGACTTCTTGTGATTAAAGGTTACTCTGAGCATTCCCTCTCTGGATCTGCAAGTCCACAAAAAAATTAGGCTGTAATAATACCTTTCCAAGGGGTGCACAAGTTCACTAATGTCAGCGAACCTACAGGAGGTGGACAAGGATCTTCCCGCCAGGAAGCAGCAAACTCCAACTGCACACACACTCCAAAGTCAGCGTCAGCCGGCTGATTTTCCAGCTCAAGCAAACAGTCCTGACATGTTTCTGTTCATCTCCACCTAGCTCTTCAAGACTTTGCTGTGTTTCTGACCCTCTCCACAAAGGAGCCCGGTGGTGTAATGGTGATGCACTAGGCTGCGATCCACAAGATCAGCAGTTCAAAACCACCAGCCACTCTTCAGAAGAAAAGTGGGGCTTTCTAATCATAACCAGTTACAGTCTTGGAAACTCACAGGGGCAGTTCTACCCTGTGCTATAGGGTCACTATGAGTCTCCATTGACTCGATGGCCATGAATTTGTTTTTAAACCTTTTCCACATTCTATGCTAACACTGCCACAAAGAGGTGAAGGCAGAGTCCTTTCCTAAAATTTGGGGAAAGTTATATCGTATCTGAGGTATATAGAAGAATCGGATTACTAAAAAAAAAAAAAAAAGCATTGATATTTAAACTATCTGTATCCTGAGCCAAGGAACCCTGATAGTGTTGTGGGATAAGCATTGGGCTGTTAAGCACAATGTCAGTGGTTCAAACCCACTAGCTGCTCTGCAGGAGAAAGATGAGGCTGTCTACTCTCCGAAAAATCTACCGTTTTGGAAACCCACAGAAGAGGTTGTACTTTGTCTTATCGGGTCGCTATGAATTGGCAGTGGGCTTGGTTTGGGTAGGAATATCCAAAGAGAGAAATACAGGAGGCACAAGTTTGAGCAAAGCTGTGCAGTGCTCCAAGATGTTCATCTGAGATCAGGAAAGCCTTCCTGTGCTTTTTGGGAAATAGGTGGGCTGTGTTAACCGTCGGAGGCCTCCATCTGCCTCCTAAAAGGCGCCCAAAGTGAGAGGCCATCACTCTTTTTCTCGTGTGTGCCTCCCATATGAGCTTCTTTATCTGCCCTGAACTCTCAAACTCAAACTTGTCATTGCTGTAGAATTAGGGAATTTAAGTAAATGCCGACATTCTGATTTCACAACTTTCATTTGGCTGCTCCATATGATCCCCTCACTCTGTTTCCCACCAGCCTGCC